TCGCACATATTCACGTATGTAATTATGTGTGCATGTAAAGAAAAAGAACCATACGCATAATGTTTGTAAATTTGTCTACCCACAACTTTGTATGTAAATATGTACATATGCATATTGTTTCATGCGAAATTTCCGTTGACAGGGACAACCAATGGCGAAGCTCACTCTTTGTCAGAGTCATGTGTCGATGGACCGACGCGGCAAAAGCGTTGTGTTGTTGGTAGAAAATCTGAGCTGTGCCGAAAACACAAACGAACGATCGCCAATTGTCACTGCTTCCCTTGCCGCTCTAATAGCTTTACCAACGAACTTSTGTAAATATGTATGCATTTGTATGAGCGTGCATACATATCGACGCAGACTTTTGCAAGCCGCGAAAAATATTTTGCACATTCCTTAAAGAATACAGTCAATCCCGGTTATGTGCCACAATCAATGATATAGATGTTTAAGGATTGTAAAAATAAAAATATAATATGGCACATAAACGAGTGCGAATACTTAAGCGAGTGTTACTTAAAACAATAATKAGTATTTCATAAAACAAACCGTGAGATGCAGCAAAATATGGGCAGTTAAGAGGGATGATTTTCATTTAAGCGGAATACTGCTTAACCGGGATTCACTGTACACATAAATCAGAGGAATATTGAATATTTTATTTGACACATTTCTTGACTTGAAAATCGACAAATAAACTATGTTGTCAATTTTATTCTATACTTATATTTGCGGGGTTGTCGCTTTTTCCTTCTCATACAAATACCAGAAATTGTTCAATTTATGATTTTTAGCTTTTGTCAACGTCGAGAAAAGACGCTTGTTGGCAAAGGCATGCTCGGGGAGATGTCATGGTGTTTGTTTTTATGAATGAAGCAAGTTTGCCTATTGAAAGTGCGCTTGCGTGAATGAAAATATTGTTGTTGTGTACTTTTCTACAAATTTGGGCATCGACTTGGCAGCCATATTGACTTGTGACGCTGCTGCTTGCTATTTGAAACCATTATTGTTTTTGTAGAACAATATTCGTAGTTTTTGAGGGTSACATATTTACATGTGAACGCATATTAGTATGTATGTTGTGTATGCATTATTTGTGAGGGAATGTCGTACGCACATATTTACATGTGTACGCATATAAGTATGTTGGTTTGCGTATGCATTAATTGTCCGACAATGTCGTACACATATGCATATGGATGTATGTATGTGCATATGACAGCAGTGCGCTCACACTTTTTACTGATAAATGATAATATCACGATCTGAATTTCAATTGTACTTACATATGTATCTATGAAAATTGAAATGAAATGCGATTTACATATAATATTATTGTAATATATTATAACTTGTTTAGGATATTATGATAGTATGTCATATATGTATCATATGTAAATTTATAATATATTATCAAACATATGAAATATTTAAAAAATGGCTCTTATTTGTACATTAACTACAAATGTTACTTCGAAAATGGCATAATTTAATGATGAAGTTATCAATTTTGCATGCATTCACAAAAACTCGCAAAATGATATTCAATATCAATTAATATKATTGCATGTATGTAAACGTATAGAATTATATGCAAAAAGCTAACATAAGTCTGCAATAGAAATGTATATTTCTGAGCATAATTTTCATTGAATGCTCAGCTCTGTTCACGCTCCACTGTTAAGATTTCTCCTTCTTAGCTAGCTGTGGTGAAATGCACTCATCGCATTTTGTTAGCTTTTGACAGTTTACACGCCTGTCCGTTGTTGGACCTTCTCTATAAATATACGTTCTCTGCTGAAAGTTTAGACCGATTTCGTGGTTAATAAAACATGCCCCCTTAAACAATTAAAATGTCGACCACATTTACTAATACCAAGGATATGAAGTCTAACCAAAAATCCAAAATCTTTATATGCGTTCGTTACATGGATCCGTTTAAAAAAAACTAGGCAAAGAAATTTCATCGATATCACTTATGGCTTACATATGTATGTTAGGAAAGCGCCAAAAACCACAACTAAACTAAAACGTAGGAAAGAATGAACTATACTATTCCCGCATCGGTGCTATAATGGACTCCACTGCGTCTTTAAAAAACAAACATTTGTGCAACAATATAGAAAATATGTGCGAAATATAACAGGGGTATTCGCTTGCTCTTGCAAAACCCTTGCACGGTGCAAGAATTGCATATATTTACTCTTGGTGTCACCGGCACAACAACAAACACACGCAGAAAATTATTTACAATGGCTGTAAAATAAGTCAAACCAAAACCCATGTATATTTGCGTGCAATGTCACGCAAAAATATAATTGCAACCCTGTTTTAGCTGTCATTTTACATAAAGACATATTACGTCATTAAATTGTTGAGGAAGGTAAGTTTTAAATAGATTTTATAATTTCTACTTAAATTATACGAATTTGTTAGTTTTTTTTGTTAAAAATATATGGAGAAGGTGCGTCAACTCACAGTAGACATGCATAATAGCCATTCACTATATCACTATGTAGCCTATTCATATATCACTAGATTCTGCAATGGGTGCTCTGTGCCCTTGTATATCTCGGTATAGTATTTTTGCAATCTGCAATCTTGCAAGAGCAAGCGAATACCCCTAACGTTTTAATTTCCCACACTGAAGTTATAGGATACTCATGGTATTTGTGTTTTACGCCTATTCTGGTAAAATTCGAAATACAATCTAAAGTTAGATACAAGTGTATACCAAAAATGTTAATGTAGCCATTTTATTTGTAAATCTTGCTTATGAAATAATGTTATATTCAACATATTTATCTCTTTCAGATAAATTGGATCGAATTAAAGAAGGCACCATATTACCTCTTATATGGATAGAAATAACATCAGGGGACTTTACCGATGAGATAATAGAAAATCTCTATATAAGCACCTTCGGGTTGAATGCCATCCAATATGCTTTGAAATATGGCACATTATTTGCTTGCATTATTTCGTTTGCTCTCATCGTTGGAGGATTTTATAATTTAACTCAAAAACGAAGACAGCACGCACTAAGTAAAACGTAAATAGCAAACGAAAAGTATGTTAGATATTAAGAACTAATGCAAAACAAGAGCTTTGTAAATATGTACATAAATATTACTCGTTAATCAAACCTACTTTGCAAACTTGTGCTTAGTGTGTTATCTCATAATAATGTCCCGTTTTTCAGATATCTACGCTTAGCGATCCCAAATGGTTTGAACAGGTGTAAAAAATCCAGAAACCAAACCAACCATTTTCAATTGTAAAACATAAGCAATCTACCGACTGGAATGTTTCTTCATGACAGTTAAACATTAAAATGAAGGAGTATTTTAAATTAGTTTACCAACTACTTATTAAATATTTCGGATCCGAAATGACAATACGGTTTTGTTTTAGGTGTTCTGCAATTCGTTCGATTTCTTTTGACTTAGAATTTATGTTCGAAACAGCTGATTCCTTTCTGACAGTTTGACAAAACAAATTAAAAAGGATTCGTTAGTTCAATATATGAGATAACTCGGAACTAAATATATTTTATTGAAGAATAATGTTTTTTTAAGGCCGCTTATGTTTTGAGCGAACGTGTATAATCAATTTCAGGTGAGTTTTGAAAAAAACGTTTGCCGACTTCAGATGGTTTCTTGCTTGCTTCAGGTTTGTTATCAGCTGTTGCTTAAGAGGGGACCTGCTTTAAAGGTTTCAACAAATCGATTTTTAGAATTTTTTCGGGGGGAAAGAACTGTTTGATTGAAGCGAAATTTCTAGGTTTTATAGTAATATAGTTTATTTAAACATCATTCGAAAATTTGTTGAATACGAAATCTTGGATATTCTGCTTGACTTTTCCCAGTTTTTTTTTCAAGTTTAAATGGAAGATAATTTAATGCCAAAGATAAACCTTTTGCACCAATTCCATACGACGGTTAGTTTTTTTCTATCCTGCTATCCTTTCGCTTCAAAGTTTACGCTTTCTGCTCAAGTGCTAGACGCTCGGTCACTTATTCCCTTCTAGCTTCGACAATATTTCTCAAATTCCCATCTATAACTTTGAGGCCATATCCTTACATTTATTTTAAAGGGATTTAAGCAAAAAAAAAAAAAGATTTTTTGAAGTTTCTTAAGTAAGCGTGCATTTTTAAAGAAAACCTTACGAAATAATCCTTTTGTCAGAGAAATGTGCATGCCAAGGATACCGATATTACTCTCGATAGAAGAACAGAATAAACATTTTTTTACCTGAAATTATTAAAATTTTGTGTCCTTAGTGGAATAAGATTCAAATGTCAGAAGAAGTTCCCAGAAGAGCAAAACTTCACAATAAATATGGAATATCAGAAGTGATAGGATGCATTGATGAAACCCACACAGCTCTGATGAAACCCTCTTTAAAGGAGCATCTTTTTTGATAGAAAATGTGTTTTCAGCATAAATGCGATGACTCCTATTAGGTCCGTAAAATTTGTGATTCGCAACTCAAGATGCTTTTGTTTTCAGTATGAGCACTGCAAAACAACAATGTCTCTCGCAGGATGATCCTGGTAATCGAGGGTGTTGGCTACTTGAGGATTCTAGTATGTAATTCTATGTGTATAAGTTTCAGAGAACTAGAACGAGTAATAAATTTTGGTGCATAATCGAGTATTGGTCTGTTACTCTATCTGATTCTGTCAGTTTTCACATTAGCGATAGAGAACAACTTTGAATCACTCGAGGACAACTTATGGATACATGATTTGTTTATGAACGTTCGCATTAGCAGAAAATACCCGTAAATGATTCATAATCATATTTCAATGACGAAATGTTTGACAGCGTTTCGGTTTGTATATCATCCCCTATACACTGATTTACTCGTGCACTTCTGTTCTATTTGTAATGCATATGTCATATATGTATATAATGGAAATTCCATCTAGTACATATGTACATACAACAAACATACATTTGTATGCACGTATCCGTGGGAATTCCCATTTTTTTCGCATTGAAAATTTGTAACATGCGCACATGCTTAAATCTGACATTTTTTGCTACACATGATTTAAATGAATCCAGCAAAAAATTTGCTGTACTCGTAGTTTACTCGCAGTTTCACATCGATTCAAACAATCGTCGCAACGCTATGAACTGACATGATACGATTTGACCCGAAGCCAGCCGACAGATTGTTCATGTTGCATCAAATCATTTGTCGTTGGTCGCTATTGAACAACTTGTTGTCTATGATGAACTGATTTGATTGTCTTTTTGGCACGACTCTTTATTCTGATTTAATCATACTCGTTGTAGCTCTCTGATAAGTATGTGAATGGTGCGTATTTATTGTGATAATTCATATATCATGAATTGGTTGTCGTGTTCGATTGAATGGAGGTTTGATTTTCGGGACCTCGTGGTCGTTTTGCGGCTAGTGGGGGTGGGGTTGTTTCTGCCTCAAAACATCGAAAATCTTAAATGCTTACAACAGCCGCGAAAGTTTCGCAAATCCTAACAACATATTCTCGTTATTCGTTAATATATGCTTTACGACCGACCGCCTGCAGCTCTTGATTCCAAATCGTTATGCCCAACCGTTTTGGGAAGCACCTTCTATATCTTAAAAATTAATGAAAAACAAACAGTAAAATGCATTGGGTCGGCTTTAGTATACCATCCCAGGATTTCGGTAATAAAATGGGTACGGTCGGATAGAGGAGATTCTCCAGATCACGAATATATACACACTGATTATTTGACACTTTGTAATTCATTTGTTATTCTAAACAATAATATTTCAACAATAATTTAAATGTACACTAAAAGCAATTTTTGCACTATATTATATAAAATAAATGTGTGCAAATGAATAATTGATATGTTAGTGTATATAAAATTGAAAAATTTAAGTGAAAAATTAATTTTAAATACCGGAAATATGTAATTAAAATATTGCAAAATTTCAACTTTAATCGCGAATATCTCGAAAACTATAAGCTTCCTGCGGCTATAACCATATATATTCGTGATCTAGAGAATCTCCTCTATCCGACCATACCCATTTTATTCTCGAAATCCTGGGACGGTATACTAAAGTCTTCCCAATGCATTCATTTTAATATTCGATCAAATACAACTTTTTCCCAATCGTTTACGTTCTTTTGAGGTGACCCTTCTGTATTTAGCAATGTGACCAGCTCCTTCCATTTTTCTTCTACTGCCAGTTTGTTTATTTTTGTTTTATTTTATCATATACTTACATTGTAAGAAATGTTACTTATTTTAAAATTCCAAACAGTTTGCTGATGTTAGAAAAATTAAAAGAGGGGTTTACAGAACATGTCAAACGATTTGAAAATATCAAAACTTTGCCCGAAAACGATTTGCAGAACATACCTAATAGAAAGAAACCAAAATAAACAAAGTTGTCAAAATAACTTGTTTACTATTAAGACAAAATACCTACGGAAAATATGATTCTTGAATAATAAACATGTTTTGTAAAATATTAAGTAAAAATTTACAGTTGTTTCTTAAATTTGAATTCAATGAAAAATGTAAAAAAGTACAAATTAAAAATTTAATTCAATAGTATAATCATATATATTAACAATATATACAAATACCACTTGCAAATATAACTTGCACACTTTTACAATAATAAAAAGCAAAAACAAATTAAATTTTCCTGTGATTAGTTATTTTATTTTTGTATTACTTTACTTTTTGTTGAATGAATCTACTATAAAACATAAACAATTATATATAGTACCCCTATTAAGGGGTTATATACGTTGCGATCGGTCCAAAATTCGAAAATTTCTTTATTGCTCCATCAGTAAGTATAAGTCGTAGAGAATGCTCTCCCAAATTTTCACAAAGATATGTGCATTAGAACCAAAGTTATAGCGTTACGTAACACACGTAGTCATAGGACGAAAGTCTAGCACATGCTATTCGCCTGGCTTTTCCAAAAGTGCCATTGTCGTGAGCCCGATTGCAAACAATCTATCTCACCGATTTTCTTTATTTTAATTTTAATTCGTTCATAACTAATATAGGTAGTCCGTCAAAAATGCCTTTTTATATAAATTTTAATGCAATGTTAAGATTTTTTAAATAAATTTTTTTCAGTCGGTAAACATGACTTTTTGAAAATATTATCCTCATTTCTACCAAAAAATTTTTTTTAGGAAAACCCTTCGTTCACGGACTCCACACGTCTATATACTAATGAATTTTTTGTGTTTTATGATTTCAG